TTATGTTCGAATGCTAAGTTTGTGTATGTCCAAAGCTACCACTCTTCTGTTATGTGTCTCAGAATTTCCCAAAATGCAAATAATCTAATTTAAACAGCAGTGGCAGAAATTATATAGCAATATATAATTGCCAAAACATTCTAATTAACAAGTATATGAGGGGGGACCACCCAAAAAGTGGAATTTATTTATAAAAAATTGTGTATGTATCTTAACATGTTAAACTTCAGTTGCCTTCAAAGTACTGGGGTCCTTATTTTATTGCTAGATGTCAGTGCCTGGCCCCTTCTGTTTTAAAAGCCAGCAATGGCACGTCGAATTTTCCTCCCGTGTGCTTCGATTCTCTCTGAGGCCCTCTTCTGCCATTAGGCAGAGAAAAACAAGAACTCTGCTTTGAATGGGCTCATTCAGTTAGGTTAGTTGCACCTGAACTATCCCCATTTTGATTAACTCAAAGTCAGCTGATTAGTAATCTTAATTACATCTGCAAAATTCCTTTTTGCAATATATGGTAAGGTTATCATGGGTGTAATCATCATATTCAGTCCTGGGGATTAGGGCAGGCCGTCATGAGGGGGCCATTTTAGACTTCTGACTACCTCAATAATTTTTAAACTAATAGCTTTATTGAGATGTAAGTCACCCAAAATACCAAAAATTCACCCCTTTAAAGTGTATAATTTCACAACAACCATCACCATTATCTAATTTCAGAATATTTTTATCATCCCAAAAAACCCCCTTATAACCTTTAGTAGTCACTGTTCCCCTCTTGCAGCCTCTGATAGTCACTCATCTAGTTTTTGTTTCTATGTATTTGCCTATTCTGGACATTTCCTAAAAGTGGAATCACACACTGTATGGCCTTTTGTGTTTCGCTTTCACTTAGTATAATGTTTTCAAGGTTCATCTAGTTGTAGCATGTAACAGAACTTCACTCCTTTTTATGGCTGAATAATATTTCATTTTATAGCTGCATCACATTTTCTTTATTAATTCCTCAGTAAATGGACATTTAGGTTTTTTCGTCGGGGCTATTATGAATAATTTTACTGTGAACATTCATGTAAAAATTTTTGCATAGACGTGTTTTCAGTTCTCTTGGCATATACTGAGGAATGAGTGGTAGGCTAAAAAGTGATTTTCTACTCCTTCTGCCACCCGCAAAATCAGGTTCCATTATCTGGAAACTATAAATGTTAATTTGGAAAAAGAATATAGATGTTAATAAATTAATGAGCTTGTGATCAGATTATTTTGGATCATCTGTGTGGGAGAGCACAGTTAAGAGGGAGACACAGAGCGTTTGACACAGTCACAGAGGAAAAGACATAAACGTACAGGAGAAACCTACATGAAGACAGGGGCAGAGATTGTAGTGCTCTGGTCATTAACTGAGGGATGGTAGCAACCACCATTAGCTGCAAGAGGCAAGGGGAACTGATTCTCCCTTGAATCCTGGAGATTCTGTAGCGCTGCTTCATTTCCGCTTGGTGATTTCAAACCTCTGACCTCCAGAACTGTCAGAGAATGTTCCTGTTGTTTAAAGTCACCTAATTTTGGTAATTTATTACAGTCACTGGCAACCAATACAGAGTGGAATTGCTGGGTCATGTGATAACTCTGTTTAACATTTTGAGGAACTGCCAAACTTTTCTAAAGTGACTGTACCATTTTACATTTTCACCAGCACTGTATAAGGATTCTAATTTCTCCAAATCCTTTCTAATACGCACTGCTGTTGTCTGTCTCTTCAATTATAGATATCTTAGTGGGTATGAAGTAATATCACATTATGGTTTGGATTTACAATTCCCCAGTGAGTGACAGTGTTCAGCATCTTTTTATGTACTTACTGGTCATTTGTATATCTTCTGTGCGAAAAATGTTTGTTCAGAACGTTTGTCCATTTTTTAAATGGGGTCATATGTCTTTTTATTGTTGAGTTTTAAGACTTACAAAGTTTTATAATTTTAGTTCTTACATTAGGTCTATGATCCATTTTAGTTAATTTTTGTATATAGTGTAAGGTATGGGCACAATCACTTTTGGGAAATTTTTGACCATTACCTCTTCAAGTATTGCTTCTGCTTACTCTGTCCTCAGATTCAATTTCATGCATACTAGATGTTTTGACTGTGTCTCACATATCTCTTATATGATCTTTCCTGTTTCTTCCATTTTTAAAAAATTTGTGCTTCAGTTTGGACATTTTCTATAGATCATCTGTCAAATTCGCTAATCCTGTCTTCTTGTCCAATTAATTTTTAATTTGAGGTATTGTATTGTCCAGTTATAGCATGTCCTTTTGTTTTTTTTCTTTTATTAACACAGTTCTTTGAAATTCCCCTATTTTTACATATTTTTCTCTAGCTTATTTAACTTAACTACTATAGTCATTTTAAAGTCTTTGTCTGCTAACTCTAATATTTGAAGCATTTTATGCTTTTCACAGATTTACCCGTTTGTTTTCTCTTTGTTTTAGAAGCTGTAGATTTTTTAAAAACCAAATCTAGATTTTTGTTTTTAGCATGAAGAGGAAGAATAGGGGAGGCACTGGACATTCATCATTTCCGCTTTTGGCTAATATTTTAACTTTTTTGGCCCTTTGTGTTCTGAGTTAACTGGAAGGGTTTTATTTGTTTGTTTTTTATAATTGCCCATACAATGTGCTGATTATTCAAGATAGACAGAAGAGCAATAGCATTAAAGAAGGAAGAAATCAGTGTGATGTAAGTGGGTAGTTCAGTGTCAGGTACATAAGTTGTCATACTTGCTAATTTGAAAATGCTGTATGGAGATAGGAACTGAACTAAATATGTTTGGAGAGTGGTAATCATCTTGATATTGTGGTTTAGTAAGCATGATCAAAATCATAAGTTTAGCTGTTTAGCATAAAGCATTTATTAGTATTTATGATCTAATAAATTCTCTAAGTTTTTTCTCTGGTGTTTTTTTTGTTTGTTTTTTTGGTATGGATATATGATTAGCTGAGGATATTTTAAGTACATGATTTGGTGAGTAACTTTTAGTTTAGTCCCTAAATAAAAATGTCATTTTCTATGTATTTACTATTTTTGTAATATAGTAAAAAAATATTCTGAGTTTAGTAAATATTTGATATTTTTAGTCAATGTAAGAGTTTTCTTTTAAGGATAAAATATTAACAAAAGTAAATATTTGTGTTTATTGTGTTAGTCTGAATGGGTTCTCAATGCTGATTATAATCATGATGATCTCCTATAATTATTTATATTGCATTTTATTTTCTTAATTCTTGTGTCCATTATACTTCTTACTTTTTGGAGTCTTATTTTTTGTTTGTTTGTTTGTTTTTGTTTTAGGACACGGCTTGATGAACTGCGAATGTTTTTAGAGAATGAGACCTGGGAGCTTTGTCCTGTTAAGTCAAATTTCAGCATCTTGCAACTTCATGTAAGTGTTTCTTAAGAACAAATAAATCTGTCTTTTATTTAGTCACAGAAGATATACAAAATAATTAAACAATAGTGCTCTTTCTTAAAAGTGATTAATAGCAAGCCTCTTTTACAAGAGTGATCTTTTTTGGATTTCAAAATGTATTTTTACAAGTTCAGTTTACAGATTTCAGGAAAACTCTTGTTTAAGAAGAATCACAATTAAAATAATGTTTTTCTTATATCAGAAGAGGGTCTGTTTATTTAGATTTTACAGAAAATCAGTTATATTTTGGTAGTCTTTAATGAAAATGCTTATATTTGTAGGATCTTTCTCATTTCTTAAAAGGCCTAATAGGTTCTTAATTTATGCTGCAACTCATAAATTTGCCTATAATGAGGAAATGCCTCAGAAATAAAAGAGGCTCTTATAAAAAAAAACCCTTATCTATTTATATTAGTTAATTGATTCCTTGAATCCCTGTAGAATATGTAATCTGTAAAAATATCTTTTAATTGATTAGATTCTTCCCATAGGTTGTAACACATTGTAAATAAATATTCCTTGTGTGATAGATTATGTCTTACAAATACGCAATGTCAAGATTCAATGTATAAATGTAGATCTCTGTTTAAAAGGTCCAGTGTGTTTAGTTTTGCCTTTGGAAGAATGGCTTTCTAGACGCGATTTTCTTAAGCTGGATAAATGTAAAGAACAGGTAGTTAATAGTTTCTTTGGTTTTTTTTTTAAATAGGGTTAGTCCTTACGTTCATATTGTGTAATAGCTTACTTGTTACCCAGTTCTATCTTAATTGTTTTCCTAATGTGGAAATATTAAATAATTGAAACATTCTGATTAATAACTGCTTTAAAATACAGCAAACTTAACATTAATTTAAAAATTACTTTAGAATTTATATATTAAGATGATTCTTTAACATTATTTAAAATTTTAACATTGATTTTAGAATCTCTTTAGATAATTATTTTTGAATTTGTCTTTAACCATCACATTGTGTGTGTGCACGCACATATACTTGTTGTAATTATAAGACAACTTATTTTACAAGGTACACTGAAACATTTTCATCCAAGTGAGCATTATCTTCTTTAAAGTAGTTACCTTGATGTTTCAGTTATGCAAAATGAGTAAGTTCTAGAGACCTACTGCACAAGATTTTACTTGTAGTTAACAATACTGTTTGTACACTTTAATTCTTTTTAAAGGATAAATCTTATCTAAGGGCTCTAATCATAAAAAATGTAGGTACCTTGAAAACTAATCACAAATGAGATAGTGTCCACCTGGCACATATTCCTGTAAATCTGTTATTTAAAAAATAAATGTCTTATCTAGAATTATAAAAATAATGGCATTATTTTTAAGCAGTATGATTGATACATAATGTATAGTTACAATTTAAAAAGACAGTAAACACATCACTTGAAACTTAAGCTAATGTACTTTTTATAAGACGATTACCATTGCATATGAAAACTTTTTAATTAGGTATTAATTTAAAAAATTAAAAGGTATAAGAAAAATTTAAAATGAATTTTTATTTAAAAAAATCACCAAATCAGCACTCGCTTGGCAGCACATACGCTAAAATTGGAATACAGAGAAGATTAGCATGGCCCCTGCGCTAGGATGACATGCAAATTTGTGAGGCGTTCATCTTTTTAAGAATAAAATAAAAAGAAAAATCATCAAATCAGTAGTTTTGTAATTCAGAGGAACTTTAGAGATTATTCCGTTTCTTCCTCTAATTATCTCTGTGGCCTTCAACTTTGCACTGAATCCCTTCAGGCCGCCTCATTTTCCTCACCTGGGAAATGCGTGGTTTGGACTGGGCGCAACAGCTCTAACTGCTTTAACGTTTGTGATTCTCTCATTCTAGATGACCCTCTTGTTTTACAGTTGAGGAAACTGAGGCACACAGATCCAGCTGACATTCCCAGTATTATATAGGAAGTTAATGGACTATAACGGATTAATGGCAAGCCAGGACCACATGATATATCACCTGATCTGTGTGTGGGTTTGTGTTGTCTGATTCTTGGAATGTGAAGAAAAATAAATAAAAGTTTACAGACAACAGTATAACAAAGAAAGTTATATCTTCATACTTTGTTTTTGATGACTTTGTATAGAATATCTTAAATGGTGCAAGCATAAGTATTCAAGGTGTATAACCTAACAACAATTAGTTTTTTTTTAAAGACTATTGATTAAAACCATATCCTACTAGCGCTTTCACTGCTATGTTAAAATTTTTAGAATTATTATTCAAATTTAAATTATTTAAAAATTTTTCTGTGCAGTTATATCAAGTAACCCAAAAGTAATTTGATGCAGACAATACTGTTGTGATGTCAGCAACTGAGTTTTTCTTTATAAAAACTTTTGAGGGTGTATTTCTGAGTGTGCTTTCAGACAACTCGCAAGATTTAAAAGGGAACAATTCAAAGAATCAGAATGAATTTTTTCCCCACCAACTACATTTACATTGATGGCATGTTTATGTACTTGAATGTTATTGATGTGTCTAAAAGGTACCTGGCTCCTTTTTCAATGTCTAGGAATTTAAATTTATGGAACAGTCTCGATCCCCATCAGTGTCACCTAGTAAGCAGCCAGCCTCAACTTCCTCAAAAACAGTGACCTTGTTCGAGCAGTACTGTAGTGGTGGGAATCCATTTGAAATTCAGGCCAACCACAAAGATGAAGAGACAGAAGATGTCCTGGCTTCTAATGGGGTATGTGGTGTTTTTAAAACATTTTGTGGAACATTATTGAGAAGTATTGTACCCACTGAGCAAGGTAGTTAGCTAGACTGATTTATCTGTTCACCACCCATCTTCCTACCTATATACTTATGTTCCTGTGATACTACTTGTTCAGTAGTGGTTTTACAACATGCTTTGTTGATACTGTCCTTTTGAGCGATAAACTATGCCTATACCAAATTACTTTATGTTCTTAACAGATTATTAATCAAGAAGTATAGTTTCTTTATTGCATATTTACTTGATTTGTTGGATACATGCATGAGGGAATAAATAGATCATCCGCATGTTTTTCTCATCTCCACTCTTGGGCAACTAAGTGTCATTTTGTTCCATGTCCTTTACTGAGAGAGGATAATGTCTTGCTTAGTTACCTGGCAGGGTTGTAGGATTTAGAAATACAGTGTTTTAATAACTTTGAGCAGCTCAAAAAGAAAATAGAGAGGTGTTAAGTTAATGGAATGTGTTTGAAGGCAAACTTTTTATTAGCTCTGTGGCCCTACGCAAATTATGTCACCTTTTTCCCTTTGGTTGCCTCATAATCATAATGAGGGAATGCTTACTTCATCATTGCCTACAGGATGTTTTCACAACATTTAATTTGGATGGGTCCTTCTGATTTTCATGATTTCCAGAGGGACACCGTATGCTTTTTTATTTTAGGTTTGCTGTAGCTGAAATTGAAAACTCTTCAAACAAAAATCTGTTGAATTCATCTGTGTGTTTTAGTCTGGGCATTTTATATTTTCGTTTAGTGAAGATAAAATTTTTAAAAATATTGCCATGAAAGTACACCATCATCACTTCTTATCATGCAGTAGAAGTTATTTAAAATAATAATTTATTGATTCTTTGTGAAAATTTGCCTTGGTAAAGTAGACTAAATAGAAAGGAATTAAAAATCATTCCTGTATTTTTGAACTAATATCCCCTCTGTACTGGTGATTTTTTAAATTTAAATCTCACATAGCATTTGACTCTCATTTTTGTGGCAGTTGTGTTCTATAAAGTTGCGATGAACCCTGAATTAATAAATATAGGGGCTGCTCTTCCTAGGGGAGATAAGGGTTTAGGTACCTGTGAACCTCTAGTCACAAGATTTTCATCAACTGATTAATATATGTATTTTTGTTTTATGTGTGTTTTTAATTAAAGACACCTCATTTAATATATAGTGTTTTCATTATCATTGAACTCATGGCTAATAGCATTGTAACTCGTGCCTGCATAAAGCTTATGTACTACATTTGTTTTTTGCAGTAGGTTGCATTGCAGTCCTCTTGCACTTAAAGGACACTAGACAACACCTGATATTATGCTTAGGGGCCATTCTGAGCAGTGAAATTACCAGCAAAAAACACCAAAAAAAAGGTTAAAAATGTGACACTAAATAGGCTGTGAAAAGGATACTTGTTTACAGCAGGAGAGCTGCTGCAAGAAGGAAGACTTCGTTTGCCTGCAGCTGGGAACACACATGTTAGGTGACACAAAAGTTTTACCACTCTGCCTATACTCATGAATGAGCATGAAAGTGTCATGAAGTATTATTGTTGGGGTTACAAATAAAATTTAGTGAGTAGGAAGATTTGTGCATTCAGAATCCTTGAAAATGAGGATCTGTTGCCCTGTGGAGTCATGAAGCCCTGTTATTACAACCAGGAGACCTAGGTCTTTCTAAAGGTCATCAGGACTACCTGTGTATAAGGGGGAGCAGACCGTAATGGTCATCTGCAGTTACTCATGTGTAATCTAATCTTTCCAGGTACAGCGTATGTTCCTGAGAGTCAGGGTCCACATGGTACTGTGGCCTGTCGTAATGCTTTAGACTAGAGTCTCAAAAATAGTTGCTGAATTAGGTTAACGTCTATCTGTGTCGTCGTCATACTAGTGTCCACTGAACTGGCAACTGGGGATAAAACTTCGTAATAGAATTGTTTTGAAAACTTAGCTAGATAATTCATGAAAGCACTGAGCATAGTATTTGGTTAAAACTTCATAAATGTTAGCTGTTATCTAGCCATATTAATTTATGATACTTGGTGGTGATGATGACGATAATGATGCCACTGCTTCCTTTTGCTGTGCACGGACTTCACCCTTCTCCCGTGCCGACTCTGGCCATGGTGCCCTAAAGATGATGAAAATGTGAGGAAGGCACCCATCCTTTAAAAAACCCACCATTTTTGTCCTTGGTCTCAGTAGTTCCTAGTTGCTAAGCCTAATTTTTTAATTTGCCTTTGGATTTAAATCTCATCGTAATACATGAGCTAGAACATCAGCATGTGTGTTTTGTGTGCTTACTAAGCTGCATTAACACTTCTGTGTGCCTGAATTGGATATTCAGCCTCTTTACGAGTTAGCAATTTGGAAATTGTGATGAAACCACTTGGAAGAAGAGATTTAAAAAAAAAAATCACATGAGGACTGTTTTGTTTTTTCTCCTAAGGACTAGGTGGATGTTTTATTGTTGTTTATTTTCTTCATGTGCAGATTTTATTTTTTATTTTTTGACATTTGCAAACTCTTGTAGATACAGTATTTGTTTTTTCTTTTTCTTTTTTCTGAGCTGGTTAAGGTAGAATAATGAAGAAAATGGAAGGGTAATATGATTCTTGATGGCAAAATGAAAGCTAAATTATTAAGAGCTTCCTTCTATAACTACGTCTTATAAAATTGGATACTTTTTATTGTGTCAAAAGACTTCAACAGAGGTTGGCTTTTCATACCCATTGCTGACTAACCTGTGTTTTCTTCAGTATGAATCTGATGAACAGGAGAAAAGTGCCTATCAGGAGTATGACAGCGACAGTGATGTCCCAGAGGAACTGAAGCGCGATTATGTGGATGAGCAGACAGGTGATGCCCCTGTGAAAAGGTAAAATTGCTCTTAGATTGTATGGTAATTTGTATTCAATGTTGCACGCTTAACATACGATTTCCTTTAAAGGGTAAGAAAAAACAAAAACCAAAAATTAAAATTTTCTGTTGGTCATAGCATCGTGACAGAAGTTAATATGTTTTAAAAAAAAGATTCCTGAAAGGCTTAAAATGTATTTTTTGATAATCGGCCTAAAAAGCTCTTAATTTAGAGATCAGTAGTTTTGCAGAAAAAGCAAACTTTCAATTATATGAAGAATGCTGCCTTTGGAGGCAGTTTGTGCTTCATATAAATCAGAAAACCTCAGGGAGGAAGGTAGTCATTTTTTAAAAATATGTAGTTTCTGCCTCAGTCCAGGAAATATACAGGATATCCACTTCCCTTCTCATGTTACTTATATTCACTGTTGGAGCCTTCTGTTAGACTCCCTTTTCGTACTCGAGTTTCCCCTTATGATAAACTGTCCTCTTCAAAAGCTTTGAGAACTAGATTGATTTTTGTGTCACCTTCTCTCAGTTAAGTGGGCTTAATTCTGATATGTAAGTGGATTAATTTCATGACTAACAGGCATTTAATAACCACAAATATACTTTATTTTTAATGACAGATTTAAGTGTACTCTTCTCTGTTTTACCCCCAAAGTACCTAGTTACATTTAATTGATTTGAAATCTCAAAAGTGAGCAACTCATGTAGTTGTATTTTAATTGGAAAAATTTATTGGTTTTCATATGTGTGCAATATTTAAATATCTACATTTATGATTCATTTCGAACTGAGTAGAACTGTTCTTTTGAATGTTTTGGGCGGATTCAATAATTTGACACAATATATTCTTTCTTACCTTTGGCACCAGTTATTGAATCAGCCCCCTTACCTTGGCTTCCTGTCTCCAATTTTGCCACCCTTCGAATCCAGTCTTGGATACAAATTTAGATTTTTTTATTATATAAAATTTTTTTAAATATTTTTTTGTATATAGAAAGAAGGGAAAGGGAGAGAGAGGAGGAAACATCGAT